AACTCTGAAGACGACAAGACGATACTAGGCTTATGGCACTTTGACAGCTGCATCTGTTCCGCGTCATCGCAATTCCTCACTTGCCGCAATCCGATCTCGAGAGACACAGAGTAACCCGTCCACACGGGTGCAACAGGACTCGACGAGGCAGAGCATGGCGACCACGTCAAGACCCAAGGCGACGGGCTATTGTCACAATTTGAGATAGCCCCAGAAGAAGAACACGAAGTCGGTGTTCCCCTGTGCCCCTCGATTCCTACCTAAGCTTGCACATATCGGGCATCACCGAGGTTCTTCCCCTAACCGTGACGGCCAGAGAACCACCTTACGTCGCAGCGTGTTGTCTCAAGGAGACTAGGGAAATAGGAGCAATTCAAAAATCATCAGCATCGTGGTTGTATCGTGTTCTGTGCCTCGACACGTCAGAGGTGTTTGCCCTGCACGATGGCGGATGCTCCCACGCACACCCAGAGCTCTGTGTGATTTCAGGCGTTGAGGAAAGGGGTCTGCAGAGATATCATCAGGTTCGACAAGCCGATGCCGACTTTGAAGCTGCCGAAGCCGAAATGATCAAGGAATCACCATTTTGATGGGGACCATGCTATGACGTCTGATTCGAGAAAGACGAAAGTTCGGCTTGGAGCTGACGGGATGCAGTCGGAGGCTCGGAGATGCGGCGGCGGAGGTGGACCCCGGGGCCCTGCAGACACAGTGTCGGCTACAGTCCCGTCACAGTACCGAACTTGTGGTTGCTCTCGTGCTACCCCTCCATCCCCGCCATCGCTCCTACCTGCCTGCCAAGTACTCCAACTTGCCAAACTCCGAAGCCAAAATTCAATTCTCGAGTTCGACGACACACCTCACGCCAGCCCAACAACTCGCAATTGACCTCGCTCAAGCCGGCAAAGAACCGTCGATTGCACCGAGAGACGACACTTCAATCCCAAACACAGACACACACGCACACCCCACACCACCCGTCACAATGGCCGCCGCACCCGAGAACGGCACCCCCATCCACGTCGGCACGCGCAGGTCGGCGCTGGCGATGAAGCAGACCGAGATCGTCGTCGAAGGCCTCTCCAAAGCCCGCCCCGACGCCACGTTCGAGATCCACAGCATGCAGACCCTCGGCGACAAGGACCAGATCACGGCGCTCTACAACTTTGGCGGCAAGGGCCTGTGGACCAACGAGCTCGAGGCGAAGCTCGTCGCCAAGGAGCTCGACATCATCGTCCACTCCCTCAAGGACATGCCCACCACCCTACCCGACGGCTGCACCCTCGGCTGCGTCACCAAGCGCGAGGACCCGCGCGACGTCGTCGTCTTCAGGGCCGGGCTCGCCGAGCAGCACGGCTGGAAGACGCTGGGCGACCTCCCCGCGGGCAGCGTCATCGGCACCAGCAGCATCCGCCGCATCGCGCAGCTGAAGCGCCGCCACCCGGGTCTGAAATTCGCCGACGTCCGCGGCAACATCGAGACGCGCCTGCGCAAGTGCGACGACCCCGAGGGCCCCTTTTCGGCCATCATCCTCGCCGCGGCGGGCCTGCTGCGCATGGACTACGGCGCGCGCATCTCGCAGTACCTCGACTCGGAGAACGGCGGCACGCTGCACGCCGTCGGACAGGGCGCGCTGGGGATCGAGGCGAGGGCCGGCGACGAGAGGGTGCTGAGCGTGCTGAGAGAGCTCGAGGACGAGCCGACGATGCTGGCGTGCGTGGCGGAGCGGAGCGTCATGCGCACGCTCGAGGGCGGGTGCAGCGTGCCGATTGGTGTCGAGACGAGCTGGGTTGAGGTTGAAGGGAGTAAGAAGCTGCGCCTCAAGGCGACGGTGGTGCACGTTGACGGCACGCAGGGCGTGGACGCGGAGAGGACCGAGACGATTGCGACGCGGGAGGAGGCAGATGGCTTTGGCAAGCTCGTGGCGCAGGACCTGGTGGACGGGGGCGCGCAGAAGATCCTTGATGATATCAACCAGGCGCGGCCGGGTGACCAGATTGCGACGGCGGAGACTGCGGCGGCGGCCAATGCTGCTGCGTAACGAACTTATGACACAATCGGATAAAACACACCAAACGGAAGAAAATAGACTGTTCCCGCTGGAACCATTTGATGACCATCATCTCTCATTGCTCTATGTTGGTGACTACCACGTTGTTGAACCGCAAACCCCGAAAGTGAATACCCGCTTGGCGTTGGCGTATAGTACAGACACACACTCTGCCCGGTTGAACTGCCGGCTACCTATATCTAACCAAACCATTGCTCTCTCCCTCTCTTCCCCCTTCTCTCCATCTAATTTAGTGATCCTCAGAAGCGGTGAAAGCCTTGTACTCCTCCTCGCCCATGAGGGCCTCGAGCTCCTGGACGCCTGCCTCGTCGACCTCGACCTTGGCGATCCAGCCGCCGCCGTGGGAGTCGTCCTCGGGCACCTTGTTGATGGTGCCCGGCTTCTCCTCGAGGCCGAGGTTGACCTGGGTGACCTTGCAGCTGATGGGCGCGTTGATGTCGGCGGCGCTCTTGACGGACTCGACGGCGCCGATGGCGTCGCCCTGGGCGACCTCTGTGCCCTCCTCGGGGAGCTCGACGTAGACGACATCGCCCAGGGCGTCGGCGGCGTACTGGGAGATGCCGACGACGCCCGTCTTCTTGTCGGCGTTGAGGTCGATCCACTCGTGGTCCTTTGTGTACTTGCGTATTAAGCCTGTCGATGATGGTTCGGAAGCAGGTCCGAGGGGTCAGTCTTTTGGTGTTTGATACCTTCGGGTGGGGAGCCGAAGCTTTTGGGGGGGGATGGGGGAGAGCTCACTGCTGGGGGTTGTAGAGAAGCTGCGCTGCGCGGGACGGGGGAAAAAGGCGCGGGGAGCGGCCTTGGTGAGTTGGGAGAGGGCGGAGGGGCGGACTGCCCTCATGCTGCGTGCAATTGAGGCCATTTTGGAGGTTTTTGGTTGTGTCGTGAGAGATGTGGAAGAGTGGTGGTAGGTTTTTGGAGTTTGAGAATGAGGTCAGAACGGCCGACTTTAGAGCTTCCGGGGGGATTTGGGGCCTGGGCGGCTGATAGGTTATCGGCAGGTACGTACCGCCCTACCGAGACCGGGAACTCTTCCATCAAACACCAGCGCTTAGGCCAATCAGGGAACAGGTTTCTCGAGCCGCCGTCGCCTTAGTCATGGCTGTTTGGGCGGACTGCCATCGGCCCGGGGCCGCAAGAGCCAGGTTGGGGTCATTGGATGCAGGGCGATAAGAGACCGCGCTGGGTTGGAGGGAGAGCGATAGGAGGGGAAGCCGAGAGCGCCCTCGCTGGAAGTCTCCAACCAGTCTCGGTCTGTCTGCTGCCAGTCTCTCTGCGCACCTGAGGCAATGTGTCAGTCACAAGTCACAGGGAGGCACCGCGAGTAGGAAGCAAGAGACGACGACGTAGACAGCCGGGCATGAGCCCAAGAGCTCGGACGGAGCGGGCCAGGAGTCCGTTGCGAGGCCATCCGGGAGTGTCCCGTCTCTTGGTCTGGGTATTTCGGGCGGGTGCCAGGTGAACGTGGTCGACCGTGGTGGACTATTACAACGGCCTCATGCCGTTTGCATGAATTCCCCATTTCGAGCCTGCGAAATTGCATGGCAGAAACGTTCTAGTCTCGATCTCATCGGTCTTTTTTACCCTGGAGTTTGGTTCCCTCTCCCTTTTTTTTTTTTTTTTTTTTTTTTTTTTCCCTCCTTCCGGCTGATTTATCTTGAATTTTTCTTTGGATCAGGTCTCTGCTCCGGAATGACGAAGCCTCTGTGGATATTCCTCGCGCGCCCTACAATTGAGGTCGGGATCTTATTCCAAGGCAGAGATAGAGTTGGCAATAGCCTCATTCTGGAATTGCGGTCAGAGGCCTGTTGTGTTTGCTGAGCGGGAGCCTGAGGTTCGAGCCCGGGCCCGGGACTCTGTGCATCGTCCCATGTCGCGTACGCTTAAGTAATGGGAACCCGAGCGTGATGGGGGTTGTTGACTTTGGGCAAGTTTTCTATTGACATTGGGCGCTGTGCTTTTCCACTGCGCACCGGACAACGAGCTGCAGCTGCACGAATGAATCGGCCAATGTCACGTCGCAAACGACGGCGTTTCTAGTTGTCAACATTGCAGGCGCTGTCAACAACAGTGGTGTTGTTCATGTCTGCAGAGGAACTCGACTGCAAGTCAGGCAGATGTGATTCCTGACGAGTGACGAGTGACGAGTGACGACATGAGGCTCACCGCCCTCGAAAGTTGTGCCTTGTTTGGTGAGGCTCGGCTGGTCCGTTTGAACGTTTTTGTCTCAGTGCCTTGCCCTCGCTACGGAAGCTCGTACGGTGCGTCCACCGTCGAATGTGTCCCTGTCGAGTCCCACTGACTTCAGGCGAAGCTGAAAGAAGCCCAAGAGCCCACCAGTCAGTGGACCTGGAAGGGATTATAAATAAAAAATAAAAACAGGAAGAAAAGAATGGAAGAAAATTGGCAAGTATTAATAAACGAGGAGTTGTGTGTGTGCGTCGATTCGATTCCATAAATGCCGCCGCCCGTGATGCATCATCCATAATCCTCGAAAGCAATAGCACCAAATCTCCCGTCATAAGGTGCTAGGGGTGTTAGTGCACGAAAGGGAGATGCGCCTGTGGTGCGTGGGGCGGCTGAACAAACATTGCTTGCCAACCTACTACCTCAGGTACTGTGTAGTGCGTAGTGTGTAGTGTGTACTGGAGGATTGTGTGCATAAAACGCGTCCGTCTCGCGTCTTCTCCACACAACCGTGGCCTAAGGTAGGTAGATACTTCGTACTTGCTCAACTTTGGCGTCATTGCCAGTGCACGAAATGTACCAAAGGATCCATCCCGGCCATCTGACTGGCTGCTTTCTTTCCCCTGGGCCCCCTGTCGCACCTCCCTTCCTCGATCTGCCATAAGCGCCATGGCCTGGGGATGGCCCTGACTTGCCGTTTCCCTGGGCTTTCCTGCGCTGGCGTGCCTCACTAAGGTACCTAATGCTCCGCCAAATCAACCAAGCCCAAGAGTCGCTTGCTTCCCTTTGCTGGTTCGAGTTGTGCCTGTGCCTGTCCTTGTTCGCACCATGCGAGGTACGTACTTCCTAATGTTATGTTGCACTGACATCCCCTCGTCCCCCCTCCCCCCTCTCTTGCACCAAAACACGACAACGGGGGGCAGCACAGCACAACAAAGTCGCACAAGCATCTCCTCAGCATCCCGTTCATCCATACTCCGTACACAATCCGCCATCTCAAAGTGCACCCCGACGCGCACAACTTCCCCGGCGCTTGACATTGACATCCACGGATGCTTAGTGCTTGGTGCTTGGTGCTTGGCCTTGCCTGGATCTCCGCTACTTCATCCCCATACCCTGACTCCTCCCCTGGGCCCGTTTCGGTACATTCCATGACCGTCACCTCCAGCTCCTCCTGCCATCGAGTATCCGTACCGCACCGCCGCATCTCATCGCCATCCCGTCCCGTCGTCGATACCTGACCCTTTCTGTCTTTTGCTCGCCTTGTCTTGCCTCACCGTCTGCCGCAACCCGACACCTTTCGACCTCGTCTCCTCGCCAAACCCACACACCAAGTCGAGGGCTTCCTGTTGTCGTCAAGCCTAAGCCCGGCTCCTGCAACTCGGCCACTCGTCGCCTGTTGATACTACACACTGCCGGTACGTTCGTCTGGCCCATTCCCATTGCTCAGCTCGAGGTGGGCAACCCCTGCTTCAACTCGTCGTCCAATCCCCTCTCTTGTTCCCGCACCGCACCGTCTCAAGGTCCCGTACCGTCCACACCACGCTCCTGTCCCTCCTCTCTTCCTCTCGACTTGCGTGTGTGGAGAGGCTAGGTGAGACATCTTTGCCTGAACACTCATTCCCTCTCTCCCGCCTCACCTGTTCACCTCCACGAGTTGCGTCGACGTCGCCAACCCTAATCAGTGACAGATACCATCTCGTATAGCCCGGTTTCAACTCAGCCCTTTGCTACCCCATCGATCGCCGCGCCGCCGCCCTGGCAAGCGCTCCATGAAGCCATCATCGGGCTTGAACTGAAACCTGCCGCCCTCTCCTCGACCTTCTTTTGGGACTCGGCGCCGACTGTCACTTGTCCTCGCTCATCGGCAAGCCGGTAAACTACAGCATCGTCATCTTTCCGGCCCCTTGCTCGATACGGAGCCTCCCGTCCCGCACCCTCGAATCTCCACGCTGGATTCCTCAACACTGTCCGCGGGGTCACCGGCCCAGTTCCACGACGCAGTCGACACCATGGACCACGATCACTTGGCTGCGCAGCCTCACCCCGACGACACCATCGGTGCCTTCGATGCCTCTCCCCAGGTGGCCCAGAACAACGGCTACGACCACCCAGAGCCCCAGCGACACCAGACAAGTCAGTCCCTCGATCATGGCCTCCCACAATCCCCGCGACCCGAAGAGCAGCACTCGGATCGGTACAACACACCACCACTTCCCGTGAACGCCCCGTCCATCTCAAGGCCTGCTTCTGGACTCTCCGGCGCCGGCGCGCAACAAGGCTACGCCGACCATGCGTCGCGCAGCAGCGCCGGTGCGGAAGCCGCCGCCAGCAACGGTCGCAACCACGTCGTCATCAAGGTCGGCATGGTGGGCGATGCGCAAATCGGCAAGACCAGTCTTATGGTCAAGTACGTGGAAGGAAGCTGGGACGAGGACTACATCCAGACGCTAGGCGTCAACTTTATGGAGAAGACCATTTCCATCCGGAATACGGAAATCACCTTTTCCATTTGGGATTTGGGCGGCCAGCGCGAGTTCGTCAACATGCTTCCGCTGGTCTGCAACGACGCCGTCGCCATTCTCTTCATGTTTGATCTGACACGGAAGAGCACCCTCAACAGCATCAAGGAGTGGTACAGGCAAGGCAGGGGCTTCAACAAGACGGCCATCCCCATCTTGGTGGGCACCAAGTATGACCACTTTGTCAACTTTCCGCGAGAGGACCAAGAAGAGATCTCGAACCAGGTAGGTCGTCAAAGAGTCTCTCTCGTATCTCGGCGCTGACAGAACAGGCTCGCCGGTTCGCCAAGGCAATGCGCGCTGCGTTGATCTTCTCTAGCACGAGCCATAGTATCAACGTGCAAAAGGTGAGCCCCTCTTTCGCCGTGGTATCGCACTTGACTGACCATCTACAGATCTTCAAGATTGTGCTGTCCAAGGCCTTCGACCTCAAGTGCACCATTCCCGAAATCGAAAACGTCGGAGAGCCGCTGCTCCTGTATCAGTCCTGCTGATCGCCGTCAGCGGTCTGATGTGGCCTCGCGCCAACTACAATCGTCTCGGCCGCCCATAACGAATGGATCATGACCCATTACGTCCTTACGACCTTCGATATCCATGCTGGCATCCATCAGCCGAGCTACCAAAACAGTCATCTCTGGCTTCAGGCGACAACGAGTGACTATACAGAGCACCCTACATGGCTCTCCCTGGCATAATCAGCCCCTTAAAACAAACCGACTCGCTTCTTTCTTTTGTTACCAACATGGCCTCCATGGCCCGATCACAGCGCTTTTCAGTGTCACCAGTCTGGTTAATCGCGCACACATCACACACAAACACATTCCTCACTCTCTGATTGCAATCGGCGTTGCATATCTCTTCAACCTTTACTTCTCAAGATTGGTAGGGACACGGCGGAATGGCTGGAGGGCGGGATGAGATGCATTTTAGGACTACGGTCTGGCGGTGGGCCTCGCTCGCTTGATCGATCCCTTCTCACCACGAAAAGGGGGATGGAGTGTTGAGACAGAGCAGTGCCCACCGTCTTGTTTCCAGGCGTAACGGCCGCTGCGAAACTGTTCCGGAGAGAAAATCTTGGGCAGCAAAACTTGCTTTTTTTCCATCAGAGATTTTTTTTGTCGAATTCTTGACACTACTAAACCACTGCCAACCACACCCACACAGTTGTTGTTTTTTTTTTCATCTGGGATGGTCTCTGGAGACGGATTGACCTGATACAAGAAAGAAAGAGACCACACCATGTAACAAGTAATTCCACCACGCGTGCTTTTTACTTTGAGAGCCTCCCTATTTTTTTTTCCTCTCCACCATGCGGGCTATTTCCTCTTGGGGGAGACTGGGGCAAGGCGGCATATCAAACGGGGGATTGAGATGGAGGAGGAAGGAGAAAGGAGGGGAACAAACCATGTAATGAATATTGTGAAAGGGCCTTTTTTGGCCGTTTGAGGCAAGGAGGCCAACGGAATTGCAATTCCAGATGCCGTTTCAGGGATATCTGCTAGGGTTCCTACCTTTGTGATGTGTCGTGCTGTGATGTGGTTTTGATGTCTGCTGCCAGTGCTGTCGGAGCTGGACTGCCGTATTCGGGGCTGCGAGATGGGTGCTCGGCTGCTTGGAGAGTATCTCTCGTCGTCGAGAGTATACTCGCGGCGGGTTTGTTGGGTTTTGCCTGGGGAACAGATGTGTTGGCTATTTGACTGTACGTGGAGAGAGAGGTCTGAAAGGTAGCGAGCAGGAAGTAGGAAACCGTTGATCATGGCTTGGTTTCTGGGATTTGTGAGGAGGACCGAGCTTGGTGTGTTGTCTTTGGTTCCGGCAGCTTGCTGTCTCTCTCTCTCTCCCCCCCCCCCCCAAGTCTATCACATGTCAAGTCACTTGAGCTCTTTGGCGCTTCTGTTTGATACATCACGTATTGCGATTCACTACCTTGGCGAACAGAAACTACCGCTACGTCCTTGGATCACAGTATATACAAAACGCGCTGAACTAGAAGAAGGAAAGAAGCGAAAAAGGGGGGAGGGGGTTGGAGAACCGAAATAGCTAAGAGATATGTGTTCATGATGAAGAGCTCCTTTGTAGATGCAGCGCCTCTAGGGGAAAGATCAGATGCTTTCCTAGTCCAAAAACATGGGGTGCCAGCCGGAGGTGTCTTATATTCTGCGCGATACGGAGATCTCTCTAGAATCTATGTTGCTCGAGTCTCGACGGCTGCTTTGATTGCTGTGAGGGGTATGATCAGTACACCGTGTCTGATACACGAAGGAGGAATGGAAAAAAAAGGGCCACGAACCGTCGCAAGTCACTTTGGCGTCTCCGAACAACATGCGTGTTCCAGGCATGTAGAACATGGGGTTCGGTACGTCGGCTGTTTCCGCGGTCAGTCAGGCGCCTCTACGCAAATCTCGCAATGCCTTCCAGAAACTCACCATATCCACTGGCCATGCCCCTCTTCATCACAATAACCTGCTTGCTCTTCCACGCCTGGAGCACAGGCATCCCCGCAATCGGGCTACCGGGCTCCAGAGCGATGGGGTTGACGGTGTCGTTGGCGCCAATCACGAGCGTCACGTCCGTCTCGCCGAAATCGTCATTGATCTCGTCCATCTCGAGCACGATGTCGTACGGCACGCTCGCCTCGGCCAGGAGCACGTTGCACTGGCCCGGCATGCGGCCGGCGACGGGGTGGATGGCGAAGCGGACGTTGATGCCCTTGGAGCGGAGCATGCCCGTGATCTCGCTGATGGCGTACTGCGCTTTGGCGACGGCCATGCCGTAGCCGACGACGATGATTACGTTCTCCGCGTTGACGAGCGCCTCGGCCGTGTCTTCTACGCTTGTCTGCGTCACGACGCCTTCCATTTTGTAGTCTGTCTGGGCCGGGGTCGAGGCGATGCCGCCGAAGAGGACGTTTGTGAGGGAGCGGTTCATGGCGACGCACATTATGTACGAGAGGATGGAGCCGGACACGCCGATGAGGGCGCCGACGGTTGTGAGGAGGGGGTTGTCGAGCATGAAGCCTTCGGCGACGAGGGCGAAGCCCGAGTAGGCGTTGAGCACTGTGATGACGACGGGCATGTCTGCGCCGCCGATGGCGGCCGTGGTGGTGTAGCCTTTTGCGAAGGAGAGGATCGTGTTGGCGGAGAGGGCCATGGCGGCGATCGCGGGGGATCCGGGGGCGAGGGTGACGAAGGCGCCCATGGTGCCGATGTTGGCGGCCAGCATGCCCGAGTTGAGCAGGTGTTTGCCGGGGAGGACGAGGGGTTTGGAGGACATTCTGCCGGCGAGCTTGAGGAAGGCGACGATGGAGCCGGTGAAGGTGATGCCGCCGATGAGGACGCCGAGGTAGCCCGTGACGAGGTGCAGCGTGGAGATGTCGTCAATGTGCGCCATGACGCTGCCGATGGAGGTCAGCACGGCGGCGAGGCCGACGACGGAGTGCAGCGCGGCCACGGTCTGCGGGAGGTCGGTGGGCGTGATGCGTTTGCCGATGACGAGGCCCGCGATGCCGCCCAGGGCCGCGAGGCCGGCGAACTGCGTGAGCACTTCCGGGGAGAAGCCGACGGCCAGCAAGGAGGCCAGCACGCCGGAGCCGACGCCGAGCATGCCGAGCATGTTGCCCATGCGGGCGGTCGCTTGGGAGGCGAGGCTGGACAGGGAGCTGATGCAGAGGACGGAGGAGACGGCGTAGCCGGCTTGCACGAGACCCGCTGCGCCGGTGGCGGCGGCGGCGATGTAGCCTCCGCCGAAGAGGGCTGCCGGCACGGCGTAGAGCCAGGGGTATTCGGGCGGGTCGGTGGGGCGTTTGAACATGTCGAGCATGCGCTTTGTGAGGACGAAGCCGCCCGAGACGTTGACGAAGGCGAGGAGGACGGAGGCGGCGCCGAGGGCTTGGGGGATCGTTTGGGGGAGGTAGCCTCCGCCTAGGATGAAGAGGCCGCCGATGCCGACCATGCCTTGGACTGTTAGCTATGAGATTCTACATTTGCTAGGAGACTGCTGACCTGAGATGGCGTTGGTGACGCTCATGAGGGGCGAGTGAAGCGCGGGCGTGACGCCCCAGACGACGCGGTATCCGATCAACGAGGCCAACGCAAACGTAAAGGCGTTGCCCATGAACAGCGGGCCCGTCATCTTGCCCAGGGCCAGCGCGGTGCCCATGCCGGCCGTGACGGTCGCGACCTCGCGGGAGGTCTTCTGGAAGGGGGTCAGGGCGACGGCCTCGGCTTCGGGCGCGACGGTGGGCGGTGGTGGCGGGGCCGGGGGCGGGGCCTTTCGAGGCGGCGGGGGCAGGACGTCGCCCTTGAGGGTGACGACGGCGCCGCGGACGACTTCGTCTGCGAGGTCGATGCCGAACTCCTTGTCCTTGGGAGCCATGGAGAGCAGGAACTTTGTCACGTTGTTGGAGTAGAGCGTCGAGGACTGCGTTGGCAGTCTGGAAGGGAGGTCGGTGTAGCCTGAGTGTGTAAGTCAATGGGATTTTCTTCAGGGGGGGTTTCCATTCAACTCACCAATGATCTTGACGTCCTTGTACACGTACAGCTCGCCCGGCTTCGTCTTCTCGCAGTTGCCACCCGCCTCGGCCGCCAAATCCACAACCACGGACCCGGGCTTCATGGCCTCGAGCATGGACTTGGTAATCAGCTTGGGCGCGGGCTTGCCCGGGATCAGGGCGGTGGTGACGATGATGTCGACCTCGCGCGCCTGCTCGTAAAACAGCTTCATCTCGGCCTCGATGAACTCCTTGGACATCTCCTTGGCGTACCCGCCGGCGCCGGACCCGTCCTCCTTGATGTCCACCTCGATGAACTCGGCGCCGAGCGACTGCACCTGCTCCCTCGCGGCAGGGCGCGTGTCGAAGCCGCGCACAATGGCACCTAACCGCCGCGCCGTCGCAATGGCGCTAAGACCGGCCACGCCGGCGCCGATGACGAGCACCTTGCAGGGCGGGATCTTGCCCGCGGCCGTCACCTGGCCCGTAAGGAAGCGGCCAAAATTGTTGGAGGCCTCGAGTACGGCCTTGTAGCCGGCGATATTAGCCATGGAGCTGAGGGCGTCAAAGACCTGCGCGCGGGAGATGCGCGGGATGAGGTCCATGGCGAAGGAGGTGGCCTTTTGCGCGGCCAGCTTGTCGACGAGCGGCTTGTTCTGCGCGGGCTGCAGGAAAGAGATGACGGTCTGGTGCGCCTTCATGAGGTCGATCTCGGACGGGATCGGGCCGCGGACCTTGAGGACGACGTCGGCGCCGGACCAGACCTGTTGCGGGTGGTCGACGAGCGTCGCGCCGGCGCGGTCGTAGGCCTCGTCTGGGAAATCGGCGGAGGCGCCGGCGCCGCGCTCTACGAGGACCTTGCCGAAGCCCTTTTTGAGGAGGAGGGCCACGTTCTGCGGGGTCAGTGCGACGCGGCGCTCGTTGAGGTAGATTTCCTTTGGCACGCCGACGGTGAGCTGCGCGTAGGGGACGGACTGCGGTTCTGCGGCTGTTGAGTAGGTT